TCGGCTCATTATTATGAAAATACCAAATTGCAGTGGCATACTCAATCTCCCTCTCTCTCTCTCACACACAGTTTTCCTCGTGCAGTGTGCACTCTCTGGCGGAGGAGATCGAGGAGAGAACGACGTTTTGGTGTGAGAGCAAAGCCACACAGATTTAGCAAAATTAAAAACAATAGCGAAAAAATGGAAGCAATGAGTGCCCGGTATAAAAGTAGAGTCGCTGCTTTTGCAGCAGCTCACAACGTTGCCGTTTTTTAATTAAAAATTAGTTAAATTTTCAAGTATTCATGCAAAATATAAATAAATACCAGGCTAAGGCATACATTTATCTATTACGATTAAGTTCTTAAAGAGCTGACAAATATTTCAATTAAGCCACTTATTTTTATGACCATCATTTAGCATTTAAATCTTCTATTTTAAGGCACTTAAGACCCATCTTAAAAAGAGTTTCTTCTTGTATATAAGTATGTACATTTTGCAGGATTGTTTGATGGACATGCCTGATTGGATACAAATAAGGATACAACACACAGCTTTGGCTTCTTCAACAAACAACAGAAGCGGCAAGGAGGCGGAACCCCACAACAAAATACACAATGTATTCTGCCTTCCTTCCTTCCCTCGTTCAATTCCATTAGGACTTCCATTGACTCTCTGCCCGCTTCTCTCTTGCCTCCTTCTCTTGTATTGTAATTTTCTAATTTGTTGATTTAATATTTCCTGCAAATGAAAAATGCCTATTTAATATCCTGTCAGGAGCAGAGCGAACCAACGAACGAATGAAAACTGCACAAAGTATATTTACATATGTATATACATACATATGTATATGTACATACGTGTATTTTTTGGGGAAAACCACACAGCAATGTACAGTGAAGACGTTCCTTAGAGGACAGTTTTCCTGAGAGCAAAATCAGGTCAGTGTGGTGGAAGCTTCTGAGCTTGTAGCGTTCTTTAAGTACTGTTTTCACTGTATACCACATCTGCAAGCCAAGTTTTTGCGTTCATTAACTGAATGTGGGAGAAAGATAAAGAGCGAGAGCGAGAGAGAGAGAGAGAGAGAGTGAGAAGCAAACAGCCACAGAGTCAAGAGCTACAGCAATGAGGATATGTTTCGTGTCTGTCTGTCCATTGCCATGTCCTTCCGTTCCAAAACCTGCACCGCCCCGCCCCGCGCCACCCCGCTACCTCTCTGCTCCTCCTCATATACATACATATAGGGGAAACAGTATGCTTCGTTAAAAATGATGTACAAATCAAATGCCAGAAGCAATTTCCCCCGCACACAAAAACAAGACCAGAACCAAAAATTCTGACCAGAAACAATGCGGCGCTGGCCCCCCAAGATATGTGATGGGTGGGGAAGGGGGGGGCCCCCCGAAGTAGTATACGGGGCATGCCAGCCAACTCCTACAAAAGTCAGAGATTATTTTCGTGCGTCTGCATTGCATGCCGAAAGCTTTGCGAATGAGCAAAAATAAATAAATCATTTAAATGAAACAAATTACACACACACACACAGACACACACGCACACACACATGAGAGGCAGTGGTCCAGTCCGAGACCAGGACTGGGACCGGGACTCGACTCCAGTCACCCATAAGGCTCATTAGAAATACATAGAAGCCGCAAGAACAACTCCCCCGGAACTCTGAACCCCACAAAAAACCATTGGGGCGAGTGCGGAAAATAACAAATATTCTGGCAAACATTTTGCAAAGCAGTAAAGCGAGATATTTTTCCGGAAAATGAATTGAAAATTTAACACAAATGCAAATAAATAAATACATGCGAGAAACAGTGGGTGGAAACCAGAAGGGGGGGACTCTGTGGTCTACATCGGTGGTATGTCTGTGTATGACCGAAAAACTATATGGCATGGATACACGGCATAAATAACTTTGCTCCAGCGGAGTAGTTGAAAGAGTGGGGGGGAAAACTCTGATTGCGTTTGTTACGATGAAAAGGTGACGCATGGGGGCAGATGCTTCAACTTGTGACGTCAAAGGTTGTTGCTAAGACACACTGTGGAGAGAGCGGGAGAGCGACAAATTGTATTTGCAGTAGAATATTTTAGAACCTTCTTTATCATGGATTATTATATATATAGATATAACCTTAAAATAACCTTTGGAAATTCTTCCCAAATATATTTTTTTATTTGAAAATATTTTCAAAAATCATTGGGAAAACAGTGCGTCACCCTACGACGATGCATCCTGGCTTTATGTTGCCTCAGAACCTCAGAGAGACCGAAAAGAGAGTGAAGTGAAAATAGTTTGATTTGTGTGTTGGTTGGTCATTTGCCTGGCCTGTCTGCCATTTTATGATTTTGGAATTTGTTTAAGAAGAGCCGGTGCCCAATGCCTGCAAGCTCCTGGATGTATGCATGTGTTTGTGTGTGTGTGTGTGTCATAATTATTCTTAGCAATTTATGGCATTGGATTGCAGCTCCAGAAAGCGTTGATAAGCTTGATTTAAGTGAAAATGTTTCCAAAATGGCTTTGAAACGCATTTAATGAATTTTCAAAGAATTTCAATTCATTTCGATGAGGAATGTTCCCATTTTAAAGGCTAAATCATTCCAGGACAAGAGGAAAAACATTGTTGGTAAGAGCCTATTAGAGTGAAAGTATTTCTCTTTTTTTGGAAACATCTTTTGAATCCATCAACGCGCAGTTTTTGGAGTACGCCTTCAATGCCACAGAGGCCCCATCATAATGATCATAATGATCATGGCCATTTAGCGGCACTCGACCAAGTGGCCCCGGCGTCATAATTACACCTTTCTGCTCCACTGAACGCCACGAACCCCGGAGCCATCCCATCCTCCAACGGAGGAGACAATCGCTGACAATAGTCGGATCTGGAACTGGAGCTCCAGCTCCAGCTCTGGAGTGCAGTGGAATGGAGTGCTGTGCTGTGCTGTGCTCTGGGGGCTGATTTCACTCGAAAAGAAAAAAAGAAATCGCCTGCCACTTTCCTAGGAGCTGCGGGATGTACGCAAATAAAATTAAAATTCCATTACGGACAGCACGAAATATTGTATAAAAAATGCGGACCCAAATCAAAATAAAAATCCCAAAACACAAAAGCAAATTAGTTGTTGCGACTTGCAGATACCCTCTCAGTAAAAGATAATTCTTGCCATAGAAATAATTTCGATATGATAAAGTCATCGAATATTAATCAATTTTTGCAGAATTATTTAATAATCTATTATAATAAAAAATAATAACTAAATAATAGTGAATAAATAATTTATGGTTTTTCTTTTTTATGGAACCGTTTATAAAAAGTTTAAAAAGGCGGCAGCGTCGTATGCACTGTGCATAGGAAAAAATTTCGAGCAGCGCAGTCGGCACACGTACAGCGTAAAGACTTCGTGTGGTTTCGTTATTCTGCGCTGCTTACGTAGCGGCAGAGAAAATTCTGCCCCACTGACGTAGCGGGCAGAGAAACATGCTTCGCGCTATGCACAAACGGCTTCATATTCTGCTCGCTTGCCTCAGCGGCAGAGAAGCATTCGTGTGCCCTATGCACAATTCCTCGGCTTTCGCAGCGGCAGAGAAATAAGTAACGTATTTGACTTCGTGTCTGTTGTCTTCGCACACAAACGCACCAAAAAAATATGTGAGGCTGTGCGCGGACCCCTGGTATACACAGAAGAGAAACAAAATCCACAGCAGGTCAAAAAATAAGCAAAAAAGGAATCATAAAGGGAGAACCACTATCCATCTCTCCTTCTTTCCGCTCTCCCCGGCTCAGCACTCGCGGTCTCTCTTTGTCCCTTTCCCACTTACCCATAAATATTTATAAACAATGCACGACGAAAGGCCCAAATCCGTTATAAATAAAACATAACGACGGGGATTTCTGAACGCAGAGGAAAGGGCAAGGGGGGCAACCACTTGAAGCGCAGCCCCGACGTCAACGTCGACTTCGGCTGCGGCTGCGACTTCGAATCGGACTCGAAAGCCGAAGAAATGTCACAAGCAATAAATCAAAGAGAAATAAGCCAAGGCAATGGGGGGATCGAAGCATTGAATACCCTGTGTTCTGATTTTCGTTCAATTAGGTTCCTGGGCAGTGCTCAGAGCAGAGATCAGTAGTAATCACTCGTTATGATATACTAGCTGTCCAAGTTTCCTTTAAATTGTTTGCATTTAAAAATATCCGCAATATCCACACGCAAACCTCTTTACAAAGGGTATCAAAATCAGCAGAGCAGCGGCAGCGCAGTGACTGTGAGAGTGTGTGAGAGAAGAGGTGGAGAAAACAACAAAGGTATAACGGAAGCTCAGCGAAGATCTCCCACGGCACGTTCCCTCTCGTGGCACTGTGGGTGAGTGTGAGCGGGAGAGCGCGAGTGCGGGTGTGTGGGTCACAGGTAATGCGCTCTTTACAAATTGCTAAGCACTGCAGGAGGTGTGGCGGGCGGGGGGAAGAGCATGCCGTGGGTTAAGCTTTGAGTATTAAAATCCATTTGCAGGAAGCGCTGCTTAAGTGGAAGAGGCAGCGACGAACGAAACGCATGCTGAGAAGATTGCGCAGGCGTCGCTCTGTCTATGCTGCTCTCTCTCTCTCAGTCTCGCTCTTTCTCTGTCTTGCATGTTCTTGGTAGACAACGGATGTTGCGAAGCTTTTGCTTTTATTTCACTTGTGGGATTTCCTGTTTAAGGAGTTCTGCAGACAAACGCATTAATTCGCAGATTTGGTAAGGATTAAACCCATTTAAAATATGTCTAGATCCCCTTTAGATTCCCCCTCCATCATTTATGTATACAAGTCCCTAGCAACAATTGTTGCTAAGCAAGCAGCACACAAGCGAAGCGAGTGTGAGCACGCAGCAGCAGCAGCAGCAAGTGTTGCTCAGCAACACTCGCAACACTGGCCAGCAGCATCATCTGTTGGCAACACTCCAGCATCAGCATCATGTTCTGTGGCCCCTGCATTCATGCATTCATTCATTTATTCATTCATTCAAAACCGTTAGCCAGGTGAACAACGTGAAGCGGCGCAAGCGAGAGAGACAGACAAAGCGAAGCGTAAAAGCCGAAGCGTAAAAGCCGAAACGAAAACGTAACCCTCCGTCGTGTTCCACGCATTTTTGTTGTTATCTTTTTTTTCGTGTGCGAGTTCGTTCGTGTTAGCTGGCTGTGTCTGTCTGTGTGTGTGTGTGCAGCAGCCTCCGCAACATGCGTCCGGCCCCCAGCCACCCCCAGTGGTGAGTTTTACCAAGCAGCACAGCAGCAGAGCAGCAGAGCAGCAGCAGCAGCAGGATACTGCCGCCAAGGAAGCGACAGCAGAGAACAGAGCAGCGCCGAAGGTTGACCGAGTTGGAAGAGAGCACCGGCTGTTGTACAATAAACACTGAACGAAAGAGAGCGTGAAGCGTAAGTGGTGCTGGCTGGCCTGGTGGCTGCCCCAATAAGAGACATTACGACGAGCGCGCGGGCAGCTGTTGCATGTTGCATGCGGCCGCCGCTGCTGCCAGACTCAGTGACGCCTGTGACGATCCGATCAATCGCGTGTGTGCCGCGCTATAACTGTTGTATTTTTTTTTTCTGTTTGTGTGTGTGTGACTGATCCTCGCGAGTGAAGAGAAGAGAAACAAAACTGAACGAAGAGCAGAGCCTTTGAGCCGCAGCAAGAGAGAGTGAGAGAGTGGTAGAGAGAGAGAGACCGAGAGAGAGTGAAACGAACACGATATGGAGCTTTTGGTGCTCTTCCTGGCCTTGGCCCCCCTCTGCATCTCCGGCGGCATTGCCCCCAACGATCCGTGCTACTTCGAGGGGAAGCCGCGCAAGTGTCTGCCAAGCTTCGTGAATGCCGCCTACGGGAATCCCGTTCAGGCCTCCAGCATCTGCGGCGGCCAGCGGCCGGAACGCTACTGCGAACTGCAGCGTGATGGCTCGCTGGGTGAATGCCGGGTATGCGAGCGGCATGCCGCCGGCGGTGGTGGCGCCTCCGCATTGACGGACCTGAACAATCCCAGCAACGTGACCTGCTGGCGCTCGGCGGGCGTCAATGTGCCCCACGATCCGGACACAGCGCCACCCGATAATGTGACCTTGACCCTGTCGCTGGGCAAGAAATACGAGCTTACGTACATCTCGCTGTCGTTCTGCCCCCGTGCGGCACGACCCGACTCCCTGGCGATCTTCAAGAGCTCCGATTTCGGGCAGACCTGGCAGCCCTTCCAGTTCTACAGCTCCCAGTGCCAGAAGTTCTACGGCCGTCCGGATCGCGCCAAAATTTCGAAATTCAACGAGCAGGAGGCGCGGTGCATCAACTCGCAACATGACATTGGTGGCGCCGCCCAGAGGTTCGCCTTCAATACGCTGGAGGGCAGGCCGTCGGCCAACGATTTGGACTCGTCGCTGGTGCTGCAGGATTGGGTGACGGCCACCGACATTCGTGTGGTGTTCCATCGACTGGAGTTGCCGCCGCAGCTGCTGCTGCAGAAGGAGCGCAACGCGAATAGTTTCAGCGACGAGATGAGCGCCAGCCAGGAGGCCGAACTGGAGCTGGACGAGCACGAGGACGACTACGACTACAATCTGCAGGACAACGACAGCGCCGGCTATGACGAGGAGTACGAGGAGCCCAAGAAGCATCTCGAGCTGGACGACGATCTCCACTTGGACTATGCCGCCGACAGCGGCAGCGATGGGCCCAGCGGCAAGCGACACTCCAAGCAGCACAAGGGCGGCAGCAGCGCCTACGAGAAGCACTACCAGACGAAACTTGCCACAGCGGCGGCTGCCGCCTCGGCCACCACCCCCAGTCCACAATTGAAGGCTGCCGCCGCCGCCGCTGCCGCCGCAGCCTCTGCGTCCGCCACAGCGCCACCGTCAGCGGAGCTGCCACTGCCACCCATCACGCAGCACTATGCTGTGTCGGACTTTGCCGTCGGCGGACGTTGCAAGTGCAACGGTCATGCCTCCGAGTGTGTGGCAACCATTGGCTCTGCGGTCTCCGCCTCCGCCACCGACACGGATGATGGCCAGGATGATGATGCCCCATCGCCAGGAGCTGCGGCAGGAGGCGCACTCTCCCATGGACACTTTGGACGCCCTGCCTCCGGCTTGCAGCTGCAGCTGCATGGCCAGATGAGCTCCAAGCTGACGATGACATGCGCCTGCAAGCACAACACCGCCGGCGATGAGTGCGAACGTTGCAAGCCCTTCTACTTTGATCGCCCCTGGGGCCGTGCCACCGATAATGATGCCAACGAATGTAAAAGTGAGTACAGCGCCCCCTTCCTTTTCACTCTGGGGCATGCCCCCGCACCTGTAATATCCATTGCCATTGGAAGGCCCTAAGTCTTTGGGGCATTCTTGTCCAAATTCTCTGTTCAAGGAGGCCTCCAAAGGCGTTCTTGGGTTTTATTTCCCTAATTTTTTACTGCAACTAAAGGAGAGAAAAATTCCCATAAAATGCATAAATGTTCCTGCCAAAGAATTTTCCTAAAGAAACCCTCGAAAATATCACTGTTATCAGCGGACATTCCATAGATAAAGCTGATAATTTGAACTTGAAGAAAAAAGCATTTTTTAATCTGAGAAAACAAAAGTTAGTTAAGTGTTCTATGGGGATGTCTCGCATTTAAATGATGACAACTACAAAGCATAAATAAATAAATGTTGTCTAACATTAAAGGAAAAATAAAGGAGCATGCTGCTAGGATATTAAAGTACTTGATTTCCATAAATATAAATAACAAATTTATATGAATTTCTGGCTGTGGTTTCCATAGAATATAATGGAAATATTGGCAACGCGTTTTGGCATTTATTCGAACTGCATTCCTGATTTAAAACTGTGTGTTAAAGATTATGCACAAGCCTAGAAAAAATATAAAACACATAAATCAGCATCCATCAATGGATGGTAAAACGTGAGATGTGGGAATGACTGGGTATACGGAGATACTCTGACTGTAATTGTACTCCCAAATGTGCAGCTATTATCTGGGCACTGTTCTTATCCGTAACTCAAGAAATATATACACGAATCTTATCTGTTGTGTGTGGTGTAGTGGCTGTTGAAAGGAGGTTCATTCATTCATTCATGCACAGATTCATTCATTAAGTCTTTTACTTGAGCCACCGATTTCCGATTTCCTCCCCTTGATGCCTCATGCCACTCATGCCCCTCTCGTCTCTTGCAACCCTCGATTGAAGCCTCAAGTTCAAAGTTCTTTTCATGGTCATTCGCGTGGCATTGGACACTGCTGCGGAAAATCAAGTGCATCATCGCTGGGGCATCATCGAGTGCCGTTTTCAATTGCAGGCATTGTCTGTCTGCCCCTCGCCATTGGGGGGCACTATCCTACACGGCCCCAAGGCCCCACTGCTCTGGCAATTGAGCGTCGATTCCAAAATTGCCATCCAACATTCTTTCTTTCTTTCTCTCTCTTTTTTTTTGGATTTTTTTTGTGTGTTTTATTTGAACACTTGGAATGGCATAGCATAGCCGCTCGTTGTGAAATTGCCGCTGCCTTCTGGTATTCCCTGTGGCGCTGCTCGATGTCTCTTACTGGACTTCCATTTCCATGTGTCACATTGTTGTCAAAAATATTGTCATCTATATCAGAATTATGCCGGAAATTCTCTTTAGGGAAAACACTGGAAAACAAGAACCCCTTTAAGGCCTTGAAAATATTTAAGGCATGAGAAATATATGCACAAAATTAATAAGAAACGATTTTAGAAGAGAAGAAAAAACGGACAGAAGCAGATAGTTTCCCCACAAGACATTTGCTTCAAGCGGACATTGGTTTCCATAGTCAGAGATTTCGAGGAGTTCTTACAGAAGACTCCAAATTAAAATCCACAAATTGAGAACATTCTTTACCTAGATCATAAATGTTGTTTATATTTTGAGCTGCAAATGCCACAACTTAATTTCCACTGAATCCAATAAATTCCCTTAAAATATTATGCTGTAGAATTTCCCAGTTGTCATTAAATATTTCCTTCAGTGCAGTGCAGTGTCTTACCTTTTGGATGGGCACGCCCCCTAAGCCGCCTCCAGAGAGCCATAAATTACAAACGATTAACTTTTTGTAGGCCATCGATGTCGTCTTTGTCTTTGTCTTTGTCGTCGTTGTCGTTGTCCTCCATCCAAATATTAATCAAAAAGACAGGACTCAGTGCCGTGGGTGTGGATCTGTGGATCTGTGTGTGGGTGTGTGGGTGGGTGTGGGAGTGTCATTCAGGCGGGGGTTGAAAGGTCAGCGGCTTAAAGACTCAACCGGTAAAACGTCAGTGAAAGAGCTAATTTATGGCCCTCACTCAACATCCCATGACAATTGCAAAGGGGCAGTGAAAAGTGGAGAAGGAGAGGGTGAAAAAAAATAAAGAGAAGTGCGATTACAAGATTAATTCAACTAATTATAGGAAAAGCTCTCTGCTGCACGAATACTCCCCTAAGACAAGGGACAGGGAGAGATATTTCCTGGCATTATCTTTTTTGTGTTTTCATTGGCATCATCTTGGGGAATAATAGGTAGTACTCCCTTTAAACTCTGACCTTGAAGCGGCAGGAGTGTCCCCCCCCCCCCAGAAATATTGTTTGTGCTTATCCCATGCCATTTCCTTGGTTTTCCATCATCTGCCCATCCTCGTATCTGTGCCGGAAGAGGAGTAGCTGGCCGGGTGCTGTTTCCAGGAAAATATTAATTTTCTATGGCTTAAATTTGAATTAGTCTACGGCGGAATACACCAGAATAGTCCACCCGTACTTCATTACAAATGCAACGAAACAGGAAGAAAGCCCAGGGATAAAAAAGCGACAGAGAGGCAACGAGAGAGAGAGAGAGCGCGAGTGAGAAATAGAGAGAGAGATAGAGATATGGGGATGGCAAGTGATAAAAAATATTTATGTCTAAAGCGAAAGAAATTTCCAGCCGATTTTCAGTCCGTCCACTGGGATGTCCGTACCCCCGCCGGTGTCCGTTTTGTGTCCCATTTCCATATTTTATCTTCTCCTCTGTCGCTCACTTTCTCTGTCGCTGCCTGCCTCTGCCTGGCTTTGTGGCATGCAGCAGGCAGCAGGGCAGGCAGGCAGGCAGGCAGCCTCCCGTCCAAAGAGTAAATATGCGGGCTTGACCCGCAACGACGATAGAATTTAAATAAAAAAAAATTACTTTCACCCCCCCGCTCGGGGGGGGGGGCCCTTGGGCGGGGGGGCATGCTGCGGACTCGCGCGCGCGCGCGGCGGCGCGCTGTCTCCCCTTTTGAGTAGGTAAAAAGGAACGCGAACGCGAAACAGAGTTTTGCTACCTGCCGCATGGCTTATCTCGGGCGGGGAGCAGGCACCTTCAGGCGGCTCTGCTTTGCGCTCTCCCTCTTGTGGCATGCCCCAGCCACTGCCACTGCCCCTGCTTGTGGCAGCTCGTTTCCGACTCATTGAGTCGCACATTAATATTTAGATTTGCTTTATTCGTTGACGATTTGTTTCGATTTCGTTTGGTTTGTTGCTCGTCGAGTAAATTGCTCCGATGTCCGATGGATGTCCATGTCATCCTCCCCCGCACCCACACAAGCAGCCAACCGCTGACTGTGGCACAAAAGTAGTTAAAAACTGAATTGGAAAATTGTATATATATTTGTTTAAGCAAAAGAAGTTTTCTAGCTAGAACAGTAGAGGGGAATCCTTGCTAGAAATGGACTACAGAAGAATGTAAAAATTGAGATACAAATCCAATCCAATACAGACACATTAATGGAATTTACTGAGTTATTAATACAAGAAATAATCACTTGATGAAATTATAGCAAATAAAAGAAAACACATAAATCGTTTATTGAGATTTGGATTAATAAGTTTCCTTCTTTCATTCAGAAATCTTTCAGTGCCATTCATTTGATTGCTTTATTTTTTGTATTATTTTTCACACTCAATAATTAGCCTGTTCGTGCCACAGTGCCACAGTGCTGCTGCGGCATGGCTCAGCGCTCGCTCGCTTGTCCGCTCGCGGGTCTCTGGGGTCGAGTGAGGCGCATCTAATGCGAGACATCTGTTAAATTTTTGGCTGCAATCGCTACGGGTGTGTGTGTGTGGGGGGGGGAGAGAGTGGGTTTTTAGGAGTGGTATGTGGCATGAGGCATGAGGCAAATGTGGGAAATGGAAATGGAAACCGAGAAGCCAAAGGGCATTGTTATACGAGGAGTCTGCTGCCCATTCGACTGGACTCTCATTGAGATGCTGCCTGCCTGCCTGCCTCTGCCTGCCTGCTGCCTGCCATTTCTATAAAACATTTATTTTTGTGTGTGATTTTCATATGTTTCCTCCACCCCGCCTCTGCCTCTGCCTCTGGCTCTGTTCACAGTGCTGTTTGCGAGGGTGTGTCCTGGGCCGCACTCCGTACTGTGTTCCATGTGGCAAGGGGTGCAAGGGCAAGGGTCTGCTCTCGGGGGGCTCGTGCGACTAATTCGCTGCGTTTACATTTGCAAATTCCGCCCGGTAATCCCGGCAGCTGTGCGCATTTAACACACAGTACGGCGAGGGGAGAGAGCAGAGAGGAGTGCGGAGAAAGGAGTTCCATAGAGCCATAAATATACAGATAGATCCACAAACACTGACTTGCAACAAATTGCAAAAGCTTAAGTTACGGTTCTTGTGGCAGGAACTGTGGCTGCAGGAACATACTGATAGAATTTGTGGGCGGATGAGTACCTGAGTGCTGGAGGGAGATTTGAAGATGGAAACAGTTTTGAGGATCAGTGTTGAAAGAAGGAACAGAGTGTTGGAAAAGATGGAGTGTTGAGCAGCCAACAGCCAAAGGAAACAGTTGAAGGCGTTGGAGGAGCAATACTCCAGGCAAGGGCTGAAGAAAATGATTACCAGAAGCAGTTTAAGAAACAGTTGGAGGGAGAGTGCCTGCCAGGAGTATTCGGGGGAGGAGCAGTGTTGCACAATGAATGTTGAAGAAAGGGTTTTTGTGGCAGCCACGAATGAATAGTTGTAGGAAGTGTTGAGAAACTTATTAAGAGTGACGCTCCAAGGGACAGTTGCAAGAACACCAAGAGGGAACAGTGTTGTGTGGGAACAGTGTTGCACAATTAGTTTGAGGCACAGTCCTAGGCACTAAAGAACTTCGGTGAACAATTAAAGGAACGACACCGTTTGAGGAAATACTCGTAATAGTCTAGGTCTTGCCGGAGAAGAGAAGTAATCGGAACATATGGCGCGTGTACCAGTTGCAGGTGCAACAGCAGCAACAGCAGCAGCAGCAG